CCACACACACACACACACACACACACACACACACACACACACACACACACACACACACACACACACACACACACACACACACACACACACACACACACACACACACCTTGTCGCCCATGTACTGTTCAAAGTCGAGGTCGATTACGATGGTGTGCTTGCGGGCCTTGTCGCTGCTCATGGGGACGGCTGCTTTGCGGATGGCCCGGCTCGGCTTTGCCTGCGCACCACCGCGCCGCTTCTGTTGCTGTTGCTGTTGCTGTTGCTGCTTCTTCTTCTCCTTTCGCTTCTTTCTGCAAACCCAACGTGATACACCGTCATTGCACGGAAAAAAAAAAAAAAAAGGCAAGTTGGCACGTCGCGGGTGCTGAGTGATAGAGAGAACAGGGAAACATGGAAAAGCGCCACGCAGCACGGGTGGTAGCACCCACCATGTATGTGCATGTGTGTGTGCATGTGTGTGTGTGTCGTTACATGCACACAGGGCATGAGACGTACTTGCGCAGCTCTGCTGTCAGTTGCCAGAACACCTCGTCCTGCAAACGGCGTCGTTGCCGGTTTGACAGCTTTGTTCCATCACGTGCAGTCCCCGGGACACTCAACTCTCCTGACAGCGAGGGCACGAGTGAGGTGGGAGGGAGAGTGCGCATGCAATGGAATGAGTGAAGAGGCGTGTGTGTGAACCGCACTGCACTGGTGAGTAGAAGTGAATGGGCGTTTGTATGAGCGCATTGGTTAGGAAATGCACGTGTGCGTAATTGCACCAGTGAGAGAATGCACCAGTGACGTGTGGGTCCCCTTCTCACCTAGCTTGGCAGGTGGCTCTGTGTGGGTCTTCCAATAGGCTTCAACGAGGCCGGGGACCAAGTCCATGTACTTGGCGCGCTTGGCTGCGTTTGAGGTGTCACTGACGGCATCGGAGCTGCTCTTGCTGCCACAACTGCTTGCCTTTCGCTTTTGTGTACTTGTCGCTGCTGCGATCTGCGTCCTTGTGGCTTCTGCTGCATGTGCAGGTGTCTGCGTCCTTGTTGCTGCTGCTGCATGTGCAGGTGTCCGCGTCTGCTTCGTTGTCGCTGTCGCTGTCGCTGCTGCTGCATCAGGGGCAGCACTGGGTGCTGCTGAGGACAGCCAGTTGCCCATCGTCGCGTCGCGCACGTTGTTGTTCTTTCTTGTTGGCGGGCAGTCCTCCAAATTGCCATAATTTTGTGTGTCGCGTGTCGGACCAATGGCCCTGGTTTAATTTTGCACCAAATCAAAACAAAGAGCGTGTGCTCAAAACCCACCTGCGCGGGTTCCACAGCTGTGCGCCATTTTTGCTCTTGTTTGTGTGCCTTGCGCTTTGCTTGTGAAAAGCAAACACCAAGGAAAAAAAAAAAGGTATTCGAATTGTTGTCGCTCCTCCCCCCCTCAACACACACACAAACAAGCGAGACTCCACCACACACAAACAAGCTCCCACCCCTCCTTCAGACCAGATCAGACCAAGCAACCAGTGCACGAGCATCGCCCGCTCGCTCGCTCACTCGCTCGCTCCAGCCATTCTTGTGCATTGATTGAGAGACCCGACACACGCTCGCAGGTTGGTGGAAAGGTGGGAAGGAACCAAGCGGGTGCTCTGCTGCATGCGTGTGTGTGTGTGTGTGTGTGTGTGTCCGCCACTGCGGCTGCATCTACTTTGCATCTGCGTTCTCACACTCGTTGTGTTTGTGTTTGTGTGTCTGGTGCGGCTGGTCCTCCTTTGGCGTGCCGCCACCACCACCGCTAGCAGCACAACCCTTCAGCATGGCGCTTCCCGGCCACAAGGTGTGTTTCTTAAGTGTGTGTGTTTCTTGTGTGTGTGTGTGTGTGTGTGTGTGTGTGCGTGTGTGTGTGTGTGTCTGTGTGTGTGTGTGTCTGTGTGTGTGTGTGTCTGTGTGTGTGTGTAGGTACTTCTGTCTTTCACGCCGTGATAACATTCAACGTTTCCATGCCATCCTCCATCCTCCTCCTACCTCATGACCTCATCACACTCATGTGTACATGCAATCACGCCAACACGCATACAAACCACCACAGCTCGGTCAGACCGAGAACTTGACTGAGCTTGAGAACCTGAACGAGGAGACCCTCCTGGCCGAGCTCAAGGCCCGCTACGACCGCGATGTCATCTACGTGAGTGAGTGTGTGTGTGAGTGTGTGTGTGTGTGTGTGTGTGTGTGTGTGTGTGTGTGTGTGTGTGTGTGGCTGTGTCCATGTTGTGTCCGGGTGCGTGCGCAGGTGCCAGCCGTCACGGTAATTTGGTTACATTGATGAGGCCTAGTTTGCATGTGGCTCACACTACGACACACACACATGCACACACACACGCACACACGCACGCACACACAACCACGCTGTCGTCTCCATGGTTGCTGCAGACGTATGTTGGTGAGATTCTCGTGGCGGTGAATCCGTTCAAGATGATTGAGGGCATCTACGATGTGTCCAAGAGCGTTGTCTACGCCAATATGGGCGACCGCTCTGC